GTGGTCATTATATTCTTTCTTTCTTTTTTTTCAATATGATTAAATACATAAATAAAAATTTAACGAGTTAATTAACTGACAGGTGCGGAGGGGGGGTCCAGCAGTTCAAGTATTATCCCATAAGGAATTGACGAGTGAACATAATAATTATTTTAGCACAATCCCCACTAAATCTAAAAAACTTGAATTTCTAACTCTAGTCAACAGCTTATTTTTCCGAGACAAAGGCAATACCCCTTCAGTTTAAAACAATACATACGTCAATAGTGTTGTTTTTTGATCGACAAAACTGTTAATTAAGTAATGAATTCGAAACTACAACCGAACTAGCTAGCAATCAATAATTTATTGTGACAGACTGTAGTCATATTAATTAAAGTTGTGTGTTTGTTTGTTTTTTCCTTCAAACTACCATTTATCGAATGAAAGCATGTTTTCAACGCTTACAACTTCACCTTAACAAATGTAGAATGTAAAGCGTAGCAGTTTATTCGTTTACTATTGGTTTCACAATAACATAGTTTTTATTTCACAGAATTTACAGGGATTCTATTCTACGACTTTTTATTACTTGAATGTTATATCTGTGGGGATTGGATTGATAAGTTTAAGGGAAAAAACTGAGGAAAACAGCTAGCGAACTTCACAATCACGATATAAAGAAAAGAAAATGATTGACTGAGGTACTTAGTTTGACATCAGGAAGGATATAGACATAGGGGAGGTGAATTAATGCATCACTGTTCAATATTTAAATGGAGACAGAGAGAGTGAATACTCCTGTACCATTGTGATCTATTTTCAACTTGATCACAGTGGTTAGGACTCTCGCCGACCATGCATATGGTCCGAGGTTCGATCCCCTACCGGCGCACACCTGATATCTATGGTCAGCCTGCGAAATTTGGGCTACCGATATCCATGCTGAAAATTCCATACTTGTACCAAAAATACAGTGTGGAATCAAGCTGTAAATCAAAAAGAATTGTTTTATCGTTTGGATGACTTTCTTCTCCTACATGATCTGAATCAATAATCAATAGCTGTTGAGAAAGGTGTAATTTTTATGAAGTAGAAGTCAGTGCGGAGATCTACTTCAACACTTACATCAATTCGGATAGCGTTATAAGAAGACGGAGATTACCTGAAAAACGATGTGATGTATTTGCGCCATACATTTCGAACAATCTGATCACACATTTACTTGTCAAGTCGATGTATATGAAAAATTTTAAACAGGTGTAGAAGTCAATTAGTCTCTAACCTACAATCTATACTGCCCCTAAGAAAAATGTTTTCATCAAATAACCATTTAACGGGGAAATAAACAGTAGGATATTGAGACAAATGTTGAATTCGATCATCCGTAGAACCTATTATGCAGCCCATCTTGTAATTACCGAAAAAGCCAAAGATATGCTCGACTGCAAACCTCGAAAGTGCACAAGTGATTATGTCGCATCCCACAGTATTTACCAGTTTTCGTGTGTTTGTGGACATACATACATAAGGAGGAGTAGTCGTGCTTTGCATGTGAGGGTGAGAGAGCATATCCAAAATGGCTAGAAAAACAAATGAATTGTGAAAAACCAATAGATGCAGGTGTCAGACTACCAACTTCGTCTACAGCTAAACATTTAATCGAGATGAACCACAAGACTGATGTTAACTCAGCCTTTCAGGTCATCTATAAAACGGTCAAGGGAGCTTACTGAAATACGCTGAGGCTGTAGCTATTCATAAACTTAAGCCCCCCTTGTGTATTCAAAAACAATTTATTACTCTTAACCTACCTTAGTATTCCTTATTTGAGTGGATTACCAAACGTTGTGTTAATTATTCTTAATTCTTATTTGTCACTTTGTTTAATTTAACTTTTCTATATATATTGACTTGACAAGTAAATGTGTGATCAGATTGTTCGAAATGTATAGAGCAAATGCATCACATCGTTTTTCAGATAATCTCTGTCTTCTAATAACGCTATCCAAATTTATAAAAGGGACTAATTGTTTTAAACTTATGTCACGTTTCCAACAGCCTGATCAGGCTTTCATCAGCAGTTGCCTTCTCTTTATACTGGAGGTCAGATAGCCAGAAGGGAGCAGCAGCAGCAGCAAGGAACTCTGACAACTAACTAACCACGAACCTACTGTACAACAAATATTCAAAAGAAAATGGAATTGGATTAAGCCATCGAATGGCATCACTCACGAGACTGTCGAACGAAACCGAAATAGGAAACGATAAGTAGGACATGGGGATGACAGCGACATAGAGGTTATGTGGAGAGGAAGTGAAAGCCTATGCGCTATCATGAAGCTAGCTGAGAAAGACTTTAGAGAACAGAATTACGTAACAGTGTTCCGGTGAATCACTAGATGCCATTCGAAACCCAGGGGAATAATATTTACAATAGTCAGTTGGTTACCAGTGTAGTTCAATAATTGTAAATAATGTCCTAATCAAAATCTTTCTGTCAGTAATACAGGTGATCACAAATTCAAGTGATCCATCATTTCTGCATACTCAGGTACTTCTTTATTGTTTTCAAATCAAAAGAGTCATTGGAAAAGAAACCTTACTTGCGATACTTGTCTATGTTTTTCGGTATGCATCAGCACGATGTGCTTGTAATCTTGAGGAAATTATTATTATTCCCACTGAGATTCTGATTTACATCAAACAGTACCTATGTTTCATGTTTTTGTCTTACAATCCAACTATTTCACAATATTATGCTGAAGAGACAAGTGATTTTTAAGATAACAATATAGACCATACTTTACGTAGTTAAAAACGTTCATGCTTAATAACAGGGAAGTAAAAGTGAACAAATTTTAACCGAAATAACGAATCTGATTTTACCATTTTAAATTATTCTTCACGATTCATAACTTTTATATGCTTCAAACACTTTTTAAGCTGCTTTAATACTGCTAAAATGACTTTTGAGGTCACTTGAAAAATAGCTCTGGAAGCTTATGTGAGTATAAAATCATTTCACTTAACTAGAGTTTGTTTCAATGTTTATCCCAGGGACTGAAAATCAAACATACATCCAGTAAGGTTGCCATTTAAGACTTGTTGTCATATGTCATGTCCTCTACTTTCATAGCCATAGTAAAAGCCATAAACAGAAAACAGCATGGCATAACCGTTCCCGTACACAACTTCACCTGTTTGGGTTCAAATGCCTGATAAGCTATAATTTAGAAGTAACTCTTAAACATCATATGGGAGCAGAATGTAATGTGTGAGAGGGGAAAACAATAACTTCTACAGATAATTCAAAACTATACTTTCATAACACCCGTGCTTTAACAGTATTTTAGTAAAATTTGTTTTTTTACGAATTTGAACACCGATCGATATCAGTTAGAGAACCATCGAAAACCCGGAAGTACTGGACAACTGTTTCATCCTAGTTTAGGAATCATAGGAAGTACGCACCCACTAGGGTTCTAACCCAGGACCCTCCGGTTACAAGGCAAGCTCGTGTACCATTCAGCCATTGGAAGCCGATTCAATGACCACCCCATGAATTCTAACTTCTACCAATTCATGACTATAGCGCGACCACCAACTAATATCATCGGCAGGACATTAATCCTCACACTTGACTGTATGATCATCACAACTTCTCACTAGAAGTCCAGGAAACTCCGTCCTGTAAAAACAAATCTAATCCTTACAAACCAACTCTTGATAATAAAATCTGGCTGACATTATTCGGAATATTCAAATAAATATGGCCTTATCTGAACTATAATTCAAGTAAAATCATCCCAAATGTACTTTAACCTATCTGAAATCATACTGGATACCTTTATCCACAAATTTCATACCTAAGCATGAGCAAATCTTCTGTCTAAGTAGAGTAAACTGTTTCTCAACTATGTTTATTTGCAAGATATTCTATATTTAACAGTAATCACAGAAATATGCACCTTAAGTTAGTTCATACATTCAATACCATTCTAAATGTGTGAAATACCACTCGCTATTTAAAGCCAATAAAATGATATCCATGTTCTTTTAACGCAAAGAAAACTAAGCTGAACATTAATGTGAAGCTGAACATTCAGTTCATACCTTCAAACTGTCAAACTCACTGCAGAAATGCAAACAAAATATTTAGTCTGTAAGCAATCAAAAGATAAGCCAAAAGAATGTACTTCACAGATAATACGTAAACAGATGAAATGTATGGAAAGAATTAACAGATCAGTGAATAAGGTGGTGTTAAAGTCCTTAGTTCACATTGCTAAAACACTCATTACAGTTAAAAGATGCGGTCTAAGTATGGTTGGTTTTAGATTCTTAGATTTTGGCAATAAGACATATGGATCACAGTTCCAAATAAGAAAAAGGAGTTTTCTTAGGATTGTAGATACCCCCTACAGGCGAATATTAACAAGAAAAGAAATTAGGATTTATAATTCTGTTTTAGTCAAATAAGTGGACTTTTTGTCCATCCTTCGTTAAATCAGCATCTTGTTTTGACCAGTACTTGTATAATATAAACAGCATGGTATAACAGGTACTTATGTGTTTAGATAATTGCTTAACTTAGAGATGGAAAGTGTATCATTTGAAGCCAAGTGTTAAAAATGTTATTGTGAAAATGAAATCATGCAGATAACATTTAAAAAGGGTAAAGGATAAACCAAATACTGATTTCTTTATCAGTATAATCAGTTGCACATATTAAATAGCGGTCGATGGAATCCACGACGTGAATAGGCCATTCAGATTACCCTAAGATAATTATGTTCCACTTTTAGTTCACTAAGACTATCATGTATTTTGGTGGTATAGCAACACATCTGATACTGCCAATCCAAAGAAGTTTAAACTATTGTCATGTTGCCTAAACTTAGATAAGCGAAGCGGAACTCACAACTTATCATTTAAATAACATGTACTGGAACCTATAAACGCAATTTCCAACGAACATAGAACGTGTTGCTTAAAGGACTAAAAATTAACACACTTACCGAGATCAACTAGACCAAATAGTTTATCCTTTTTACGTTTCTTTTTACCAGTATCAGGTTGACTTGTTGTAGTAGATTGTGGACGATCTGGTCTAGAAGGCACTTCTTTAGGCGGTAGTGATGGGGGTGGCGGTGGACGCTTCGGTGTGCTTCCAGAAGGAGGAGAAGGTGTAGAAGACGGAGGTGGTGGTCTAGATGGCGGATTTAAATTATGCTCATCATTTATTTTCATTAAACTTTCAGTTGATGCACATGTGATAATAATTGAAGGTGTAGTTAAATAATTGTTTATCTTGTTGACATCAGAACTGTCCCAGTTTGATGCTGATGCAGCTAACTCAACAAAAGTGAATGGATCTTGACTTGGATCAACATCTACTACATACTCATCAGTAGTTTCTTTTTCCTGTAATTCTTCGTCTTTGTATTCTTGTGCATTCTGCTCACTGTCAACAGTTATAACGGTATTTTGTTGATTGCCATCATAAGAAGACTGATAATATCCATCATCGTTTTGACTGTATACATACTGTTGATTATCAGTTTCATCTTCGTAAGCCTGATCTGTGCCCCATTGCATATTCCCATCATCCTCTGAATGCTGTACAGATGTCAGTGATCTATCTAATGAACTTTGAATACTTTTGGTACTGTCACTATCTTGTTCTTCTGTGTCATGTTCCGTTTCACTATCATCTGGTGATAGCTGTTTCGGTGTTTCAGCAGTAAATTCAAGTTCATCATCACTATGTTCAATCACAGGATAGTCTATCTCATATTCAACTGCTAATTTTGTTACACTCTTGTCGTCATAGAAATCCTCATAGTTTACATTTTCAGATTCAGCCATTTCTTCATCCTCTGTATCGTAATGTAAGTCTACACTGTCTTGGGCATTAAATTCTAAAGACGTTTGTTTCATAACATTATTATTATCATCATCATTAGCGACATAGTAATTGTCATTTGACTGAATATGGATATCTTCAATTGACTGAGAGTGAACACCAACAGGTGTAGACGATTCTTCATCACCTGTTGTTATTGCCGTAGCAGTTGGCATTGCTGTTTTCTGATCTACTTGTTTTGTATTTGACAGTCGATTGAACGATTGGTTAAATTTATGGTGGTAGTCACTTTCCATATCCGATACATCTGTAAGTTCAAAACAGTCATCTTGAGCTAAAGGTGCTGGAGACTTACACTGTTCTGGTTGTAACTGCTGTACTTCAGACTTTGAACTGTCCACACCAACTGCTTTATAGCTGTCAGCAGTACTTGTGGGCGTGGTGATAGTAGTCCCAACACCATTATTCTGTATATCAATCGGTGGGACAGATATTGCTCTACTTGACTGTTGTCGAGATTTTCGTCTGGGACTTCTAGTTCTCCTTAAACTAGCAAGTACTTGAGCTCTGATAGACGAAGATGATTTAGGATCTTGTTCACTTGAAGTCTTCTTTGAACGCTTTAAACGGGCTTTGACTACAGGACTTTGAAATTCACCATCATCTTCATCTTCATTATAACTTAAAGATGCTTGGTCAGCTGATTCACTGCGTGCTTTAGTCTTAGTTTTAGAACTTCGACGACTTATAAATGCAATTGGATTAAATCGAAAACTCATAATTCAAATGGTACTCAGAATTTTCATGGACAAAAGCTAATGGATTGTTTGTCATTAGATTCATCTGATAAAAGTGTTTTCATATAAAGCATTAAAGATGTTTTTATTTGAAAAGCGAAGCATTAAATTATGCACGTGGATAAAGGCAATAATTTCGCGTATCATCTATCAGTGTTACTGTGGTTGATTCCCATCATTACACATGCTAAGAAAGATGGAAACTATCCCCTTACCAGCTTATGTGTGTGTGTTCACCTCACTAAGAATAATCATGCCAACGATGAGAATGGCTTTAGGTATTCAAGCTTATCAGCTGATCGAAGATAGACAGACAGGAATTCTCATCTCTATTTTTTCTCTAACTAGGCAGAATGTATGTATAATATAGACTAGGATGTGAGACGGACAGATGTGAGCATCAGTCTAGAATTTGGGAAACCAGAGATAACCTGAAATGTAAGCTCCACCCACGCACTACTACTAAAGCAAAACTCAGGTCACATAAGTGTGGAATTTTCGCTTCTGAATTGATAGTAGTATAGCTTCTAATAGCGACTAATAGTCAGAACAATTATACATTTAGAAAGTATTTATTAAAAGCTTTGACAGGTTGACATGATATTCGTCTGGTAGGGCACTGAGCTAGAAGTCGAAGGATATCAAACTTCCGGTAGTGTGGCAGCTCAGGTTTTTTCCTTCGCTTTTCAGTCTGCCAATATGAAATAGATCTGGATAGGTCGAGTGAAAGGTGAAGGAAAACCATGAGCCAGAGCTATTCCAGCTAGCCTGACCATTAATCAAACTTTACTAGTGTTCAGTGGTGATTTTTTCTTTTAACTTGGAGGTGAAAACAACCTTTCAGCTCAATTTTTTGATAAGTAGACAGAAGACAAGTAGTTCAGCGAAGAGTCTCTTTTCGGCGAATTCATTTTCATAGCTGTACAATCGCAAATATATATGGTTATTTTGTGTGTGTGTATACATTAAATTTGTCAAACGAAAATACAATTAGTAGGTTCAGATGAATTGGATGTTGATAAGAGGATAGCAACAAAAGTGATGAGTTGTCATAAATGATTGTTAAATAAGAGTTACGTAATGGCATGAATAGTTTGATGAATGAGTTGTGCTCAAAGGGTGTACATGGAAACAAAATAATATACAGAATTACACAAGGGTTTTAAGTTAGAAAAATAAGCATACAAACAGAAGTAAGGTCAAATCAAACAAACAAAGAAAAGTTAGGTCAAATCAAAGGAGTAGTTACCATGCGAGTAGAAGTGGTTGGATAATTTTCTTTTGTATGCATAGTTCTGGTTCCTCCAACTGGATGGCTAGGGCTTCTGCGATGCAAAGAAGACGGAATCGTACTGTCTTTGGAAGGTTGTTCTTCACTTTGTAGATTACTTTGAAGGAGGCGTTCGTTGAGATGGAATGACCAGTATTGACGAGATGTTCGATTATTGCACTCCTTATATGGCCATTATTTCCTTTCTGTAGCCACGCTGGATAGTGTTCTTTTACCCTTTTAGACAGGATGCGCGTTGAACGACCGATGTACCTGGCTCCACAGCAACAGGTGAACTGATATATACACATAGAAGTGGTCATGTGCGGAATCTTGTCCTTTGGGTTTCTGCAGATCAGCGGGCGACTGGAGAACACTATTCTTAGTGTTGCCGCAGGGAAAGTTCTTCCTAAAGAGGTGGAAATTCTCCTTCTGAGGACGTCACTAAATAGGTCTCCTTTGAAGTCTAGGTTCATATAAAGTATCTTTTTCGGCACGGATAGTGTCTCTTGCTTTTGGTTTTTCTGTTTGATGTTTTTCTCTACAAATCTTGGTGGGTAGCCATTTTGTATGAAGATTTCTTTCAGGAAGTTTAGTTCTTCTTCCATGGTGTCGGAGCTGCAGATGCGTCTGACGCGAGTGGCAAGGGATTTAATTAGGTTTCTTTTCCGACTGATTGGTACCCAGCTGTAGAAACTTGTTAATTGTCCGTTCCAAGTCGGTTTCCTATGGATTGACCTTCTTAAAGTTCCGTCATCTCTCCTTGTAAGCTGAACATCAAGAAAAGGGATTTTAGATTCATTTTCAGTTTCCAAAGTGAACTTTGTGGCTGGATGATAAGTGTGCGCATAAGAGTTTATTCGTTCAAAGCCTACTTAAGATGCCTTTATAGTGAAGTGAATGAACAAAACAAATTATCACACTACCGTTCTCTTAGATATATCTTACTAGTAGGTATTTGCAGACAGAGATGTGAATGTTGTTTCCGCCCAATAAGGAACCTCTAGGAAGAACGAAAATATTTGAAGATGAAAAGCATTGTATACAAAGAGAAAAATTACTTTCTTCACTACTATGCACTATGTAGTCTGAGATAGTTTGACAGTTTAAGTCATCAAGTTTAAAGATGTATTTAAATGAAATATTTAATAGTATTTAGGTGCATTTGATAATCAATAACTTTGAGAAGAAATATTCATGACTATTTTCCACCTTCTTCTTCTTCAAGTTCGAAGATCAACTCAAATATTCCCTTCTACTTCAATAAACCATTCAGTAAGGTCTTTTAATATAAAAAGATATAATCATTCCTGGGATCTCTTCAGCTTACCATTCCTAACGTCAGTCAGCTTACCCTAGGTTTGAGTCCCACTCCACTTGCTTGAGAACCTGAATAGTACCATCAGGCTTCACATCATAATACGTATGGCTCATAGGCTGACACATGAAGAATCTGTCTCGGGTTAATGTGGTCTCCAATCATAAGGACATTCCTTACAATCGACATTAGTGGTTATACGAGTTGATCACGGATTGATATCAGTTAGAGAACCACTGAAAACCAGCACTGGAGTACTGGACAGCTGCTTCATCCTAGTTTGGGAATCATCGGCAGTACTCACCCACAGGGGTTCGAACCTAGGGCCTTTCGGTTACAAAGCGAGCTCATATACCATTCAGCCACTGGAACCCAATTCAATGGTCAACCCATGAATTCTAAGTTCTACCAATTCATGATTTAGCACGACCCCAACCAATGTCATCGGCCGGACATCCGTCCGCACACTTAACATTTGGATAGACCTCACTGGTCACGACTTCTCACTAGAACTCCAGGAAACTCAATCTTGTAGCAAGTCACTAGCGATCATCAGATTAATTTTCTATGATTGGTTTATAAGAATTACATTTGTTTTTACGAGTTGATCATGGATTGATATCAGTTATTCAATGGTTCTCTAACTGATATCATTCCGTGATCAACTCGTAAAAACACATGTAATCCTTACAAACCAATCGTAGAAAATTAGTAGTTGTAATATAATATGCAGTCAGTGAAACAGTTCAGACATTTTATCTCTTATTTAAGAGAAGGATAGATTTTTCAATAGCATAATATTTCTTACCGCATTTTAATTACATAAGATCTAAAATAGAGTCAGCACTCTGGTCTATTATATTTCCACTGAAACCATGAATCTCTAATTTTAAGATGCCTTCTAGTTTTTCGCATATCATTTCTAAAGTAATTATTGTGTAAATAGGGTAATAAACCTTTTTTATCAGGTTGTAGAATGACTGTAAGCACTCTGAATGATTCTTTCAGTATTAATGTAATTCACGAAGAATTTTCTGCAAAAACGACATCAGTCACTACTCATTTTTACTTCATTATTAGCAATTTCTGAATGCATGTACACATATGGGTGTAATTAGTAAAGTTGACCAGACACCAGTGTCTCACAATGATTATAAGCTACAATATAACGAGGATTGGTTCTGTGGTTTGTCAACTGAAGTATTGATAAAATTATGTAGCGCTTTAGTTAGATCTAAATGAGAAAATCGTTATCATTTGTAACAACAGTTTTGAGAATTACGTAATGAACAAAAGTTTTAGTCAAAATAACTAATTCTGTTTGTTAGTAATGTATGTTCATCCTTTTAGATGAGTGCACTTTCTCTGTTCTCATCTGTGATAAGATTTAGACATCAATAAGTCAAAATTAATCAAGTATTATAACCATAAATTAATTAGTGAGTTATCGTGCCTGTCTTTTTTTGAATTTCAGTTAATTTAATTGGATTACCATGATTTCTTGATTGTTAAGTAAACTATGAAAGGGAAATCTAGAGAATTCTACAAACCCGAATGGGAATCGATAGATTGGGCATCCGACAGTCACGTGGAGAATGACACATGAAGGGAAAATGAAAGCTTGTGAACAGTTGAAGGAAAAGGATGTACTGTATTAAAACCATATGTTACACGCAGAACGCAAGGGGTAAATAATAATAGTGGATGTATTTCTAGTTGATTGTAGACCGATTACTTTAAAATGAGATAGTAACAGTTATTCAACAACTTATTACTGTTGATTATAGAGTATGAAATGCTGAATGTAATTTACAGTAATTCAACGAATCAGAGGCAATATTATCTCTTTATATGGATAACTAGCTCTAGAAATACAACCCCACCCCCCTCACGAACACATAAAGTGCCCATACGTTTAATATTGATATTGTAACCCTACCGAAACTACTTAAACTCCGAAGAAACGATTTCAAATGCAATAAAACACATTCTAGACGGTATCCGTTTATGAGAAGATTAAAGGTGTTCAGTTTTTTAGTAATAGATTAACATAACAAACAATATACCAAATATTTGGATCTGTAAAAAGTGACAAATGAGCTAAACCCGATATTAACTACACTAATAGAATGAAATCCTGGTTGAAGAGTTCATAATTAAAGTTTCAAAATATGATCACCAACATTTCTTCTAAAACATCAGAGATAATTTATTTTTGAATAATTGAGAACATGTTTTAGTACAGACAGGTAAATGACACATTTTCTGTGTTTTAAATTTGGAAATATCCATATGTGACAAGATGAAAAATTTTAATTGGTGGATGGTGACAAGCAGTGGAATCCAGGATGCCATATCGTCCTATTTGGGACTCGTCAACCGGATATACCTGCATTCCCCAATGAGTAGTGATGTTTCCACCGAGACTCCAGCCAAGTACCCATAGTTTCAAACACCAGCCAAAGCGTTTTCCACTAGACCACTTGGGCCACGAGAGCCACCTCTTGGGCAACAGGCTATATTAATTGTTTAATTGAATTTTTATTTTTTTATTTTTAATTACAGCTTGATTCCACACCGTATTTTTGGTACAAGTGTGGAATTTTCAGCATGGATATGGGTAGCCCAAATTTTGCAGGCCGACCATAGATATC